CTCGCTCTAGAGCGAGTGGATCCTCGATGCAGCTCCGAGTTCGATTTATACTGCGTCGTATTACAGTTACATGGACGACATTTTACCGCCTCCCGACTGTGAATGCACCAGCCGGGATCGCTGTGCACGACGACTTGGTGATCATCGCCGACTGCTGCGGTCTGTCGGCCAAGGAACGACGCGAGGCAGGGATCGACGCGACGCCTAGCCTGCACGTGTGCACGAGCGAGGGCGCCAGGCTTCGCACGATTACTGGCTTCTTCAACCCGTGCGACCTCGTGATCGCCGGCGGTCGGTTGTACGTCTCGAACATGTGGAACAGGCGAGCTGTATGGGCCGCAGCACGTACCATGGGCGCCAGGGCCGCCGACAGGCTAGCGAGCGGTGTTGAGAGGCCCGGTGTAGAGGACGGTGAGGCGACGTCAGAGCTGCGGGAGGCGTGGCGCGTTCAGGCCCGGCGGGTGCACGCTCTCACGCTGCCAGCCCTCGAGCCAGCTCCTCTCGTGGACGAGATGCTGGGGGTCGCACAGATGCGGCTCGTGGACGACATGCTGACAGGTACAGACGCAGCTCGTGATCTTCGTCCTCTCAGTTACTCGCGCTTTCACAGCCCCGGCAGCTTGTTTGTCTGCGGGGAGCTGCTCTGTTCTGTGAATGACGGCGTGTTCGCGTTGCAGCTTCCGAAATGTTGAGAGGCCAGGAGGGACTCTAATGTTGAGAGCCCTGGTGGGGCGTGGTCGACGTTTGTTTGTGTTTTCAGTAGTAAACAGCGCGCCACGACCTACTGTCGCACCTGGTTCTCCAGCGAGAGTCCAGTCGTGTCTCTACTCTGCCGTCTTGGTCTACACCAAGCTGCGTTCTGACGCGCGCTCCTCCCCTCTCAGGACGTAGTCGCCCCATTGCGGGAAGCCGAGCAGCCCGTTCACGATGAGAAGGACGTACCTGGCACAAAGTCGAGACTGCTGAGGGTAATTTGACTGAAAGGCTACTTGCTCGCAGGCGAGTGCACCCGAGGGAGAGGTAGAAGCGGACGAGCAGGAGGTAGAGGCCGGCCAAGAGGTAGAAGAGGCTGGAAAATTGGCCCCACAATCCGCTTGGAGTACCAATCACCAGATAAGAGAGAGGAAGAGGTGAAGAGACTGCCGCGCAAAATGCTCGAGCGAGGGAGAGCTGGGCAGGCGAGTGTAACATGATCCGTGGCGAGGAAGCGAGAGGGTTCCTGAGCATGCAGCAGGAGCTTGACTTCAGGGAGAGAGGAGCAGCAGCAGTATGAGAAGCAACTTGAGTCGCTGTCAAGGGAAAGAATTTTACAAGGAAAGAAAGAATTTTCCTGCGCTTTCTTTCTTTCTTTCTTTTACTGCGCACGGGACTGGCGCGCACTAGGAAAGAATTCTTAAGACACAAGCCTCTCTCACAGCACACTGGCACGACAAGGGCGCAGACTGGCGCGGACTGGCACACACACTTTTACCGTGAACTCCCCAGCAAGACGGGGAGCCTCTCTCTCCCAGTATCTGCACAGCAGCGGAGCCGATCCGGAAAAGGCCTTTTCGTACGACCCCGACGACCCAGACATCGACGTCTTCTGGGTGGCGTAGACTACACACGGACGCTGGTTCCTCCCTCGCCCCGATCGTTCATCGCCTGACGAGTGGAATAGTTAGTCGCCGACTGCGACGCGACCCCTTGCCGCCTGTGTGTATCGGGCAGAGACCTATAAATATATCATATCAGCTGCTTGCGCTCTCATGATGCCACGCGCTCCCACCTTTTTGCTTTGCCGCTGTTGAGTGTTGAGCTGCCACGCCTCTCTGAAAGCTCAGCTGCTTCGCGTCTTCTCTCTCTTGTCTTCTCAGGTTCTCTCTCTTTGTGTACTTTGTCGTAAGAAAACGAAAATCAAGACCCAGGCGAGCTGGTGTGAAGAACAGGCGGCCTCAAGAAAAGAATTAACGCGCCACTCGACGGCTCCACTCGTGACACGCCCTGACGCCTGAGCTCATGTTCTCTCGAGTCGAGGAGTCTATCTACACACGAGCGACCGCGGGGTCGAAGCTCACCCACTCGCCCACCCCGTTGCCGCCGCCCTCCGCCTCCCCGTTACCGCCGCCGCTCGCCGCCGCCGCGGCCCCCTTGACGCGGCTCCCCAAGTCCTCGAGCTCGACGCTCGCCGCGCGTGCGCCCGCAGGCAGCATCGGCACGTACTCAAGAACAGGTTGGCGTCGGGGGCGTGGGTGGTAATGCGCGTGCGGTGCCCCGCAGCCTCCGCTCGCGCGGGATAGAGAGAGGTGCGCACCGCAGAGCCCGGCACTGAGACCTCCGACATGCCCTCCTCGGGCGACCCGGCGGCCGAGCCGAACGAGCCCATCGATCCGACACGCTCGATCGACCTCGCGTCGCCGAAGCCCTCGAGGGCGCGCGACGCGGCGTCCGACGCCTCAGAGGCCATCGCAGCGGAGGAGGAGGCGCCGCACCTGTGGAGGGGGAGGGGGGGAGGAGCAGGGGGGGGGGGGGGGGACCTCAGCGTGGGGAGGATCTCTCTGCATGGAAGACTGTCTCATTGCCGCAAGGTTCGCAGGTGTGTCGCACCTCAAGTTGAGGTCCCTGGCTACGGGACGGCGACCGTCGAGCTGAAGTCCGAGAAGGCCGCGGGTGACCGCGAGCCTGTGCAGGCGGCGGAGCGCTCGTTCATCGAGCGCACCGCGTCGCGGAAGGAGAAGCCGACGGAGGAGCAGAAGGAAGCTCGGGCCGCGGCTCGCAGGGCCAAAAAGGCCCGGCAGAAGAAGAACAAGGCGGAGAAGGCTGCGGCGGCGGCTGCGAGCGAGGCCGAGCGTGCGGACTACCCGCACGCGCAGCTACCACAAACGTGTCGCACTCCCCATACCGTGTCGCACTCCACGCACCGAGCGGTTTCTCGGTCAAAGCACTTGTCGAAATGTGGCGTCTCGTTGCACGTGTAGTTGCCGCAGATCCCTCCCTTCTTGGCGCATTCGGATTGTGTCGGCCGACATCGCACAGCCGTTGTCCTATATTCACACAAGTTGCGTCAAGAAGAAGCAGAACAATGGCTGTGTGTGAATGGCTGGAGTGACCTTGCAGGTCCAGCCTTCTGCCTGCAGCTCCTCGATGTTAAAGCATCGGTCATTGGGAAACACTTCCCAGCAGCCACGCGGGTCAGGCGGGAAGGGCTTGTTCATCTCGGTAAGCCACGACGGAACGCCGGTTGAGTGGCAGTCCACCACTGCAATGGACGCCGGCTCCACTGGCGGCGGCGGCATGCCCGGCGGGAGCGGCGGCGGCGAAGGCAGCACGTAGTCGCAACACTTGAGCATTTCGATGTCGGATAGGCTGTTGCCTGACCCGCGCCACATGCCCGTCATCACCTAAAGGCACCCCCGAGACCCATATTGAGTGAAGGTGAGGGAGGAGTTCACTAGGCGAGGTCGGCGTCATGCCTTGTCGCCGGGGCAGGTCCACCACCCTTCCGAATCGAACTTGCCCGGATCCCACTTTGTCTCGCAGTTGATCAGCGAGCCACCGCCTTTGCAGCAGGACAGTCCCTCGATGCAGTAAAGTTCCTCGCAATCGTTGCGTCTGAGGCCCACCATGTAGTGGTCGACTTGGCACTCAGCCCAGCCTTGGCTGTCGAAAGAGATCCCGATGTCTTTCTCTTGGCACGTCTCGAAAAGCGGGTTGTTGACGTTGCAGCACTCGGCCTCTTCGAGGTTGAAGAGGCTGGTGCCTCCCGACCGGTACCTGGGAGGCGTCAGTGAGTCGGCTTGGGAAATTGAGGCGTCAGTGAGTCGGCTTGGGAACGCCCGGGTGGAGTATCGGCCATCTACACAAGGCACACATGCCCGTCATGGCGCAGCCGTTCTTGCACTTACTCCAGCCTGCGCGGTCAAAGGAACCCCACCAGTCTCCACCGCAGACGCCGTGGCCGCACTCCCTGCCGTGGACGAGCGAAGCCAGCAGCATGACGAGAAAGCGCGAGAGCATCGCGGTTCTACGTCAGAGATACTCGGACCAGGACGCTGTGCCACACTCACCTGCGGGCGGACGGGAAGGGCGTCACACGGTATCGCGGCACACTCACTGCCGGCGGACGGGAGGGCGTCACACACGGAGTTGAGAGAGTCCGAGACAGTCCGAGGGCCCTCGGCGAGTTTAGAACTCCTCGGCCGCCGATTTTCAATTTCGGCGGGGCAATTGGAGAGAAGAGATTGTTTGTTCGGTTTTGCTGGGTGGGTGCAGGGTGACGGCCGCACTCATTATAGCAGACTTCTTACTCCTCCGCGACGCGTGGCCGAGATGCGCATACCATGCAGGCGAAGGGGAAGGCGGAGGCGGAGGCGGACGGAGGCGGGGAGGCGGGGATGGGGGTGGCGGCGACCTTTTAGCGCTGGATCGCCCATGTTATGGCGCTAGCCAAACTTGTTACCGTTCTTCGTCTCACGTTCCTTCGTTTTTGCACGGTATTCGGATTTTCGCTATTTGGTCGTGTGGGTGGGTGTGTATTCCGGGATTAGTCAAGGGTACCGCGTCGCCCCGTCGGCGACGCGGGCGCCTTGCGGGCAGAGCCACCAATAGGGTTTGTGGAGCGTCCAGACATGTACAGAATGTGCAGAAGGTGTACAGAAGCGTCACGAGGAACGAGGATCGAGGTGCGTCCTCATCGCATCAACAACGCTAGCAACAAAACTTCGAAACCGAAAAGTCCGAACGCGGTTAGAGATCGCTGCGGTCGGTAAACAGTAAAGTCGGGGTAACTAGGTGCCAATCGCTACTCAAACCCGTCTCTCTCCGCCAGGAGCGGCCGTGTCGGCGGCGGCGGCGGCGAGAGATGCCCCAGCACCAGCAATTGCGTCGGAGGCGGAGGCGGGCCCAGCAGCGGCAGCAGCACCAGCAGCAGCACCGCCCACATCGACCAAATTGCGAGGCTTAACCCACACGCCCGACCCACCACCACCCCCTCCCCCTCCTTCCCTCTCACCGCCAAGACAGGCGGCAGCGGTGGGGGCAGCGGCGGCGGCGGCGGGGCCAGCGCCAACGACAGGGTCGAGAAACACGCCTAAGGGACGGTTCCGAGAAGGTTCCGAGAAGGTTCCGGCACTCTGGGCTGCTCTCGGCCACCTCTCGGCCACCCCCCGGCTCCCTCTCGGCTACCACTTGCCGGCGCGCTGCTTGGAGTGGTCGTACGAGTAGACGCGCCCAGATCTCCCATTGAGCTCGGGCCGCCTGAGGTCACCCCCCCCCCCCCGTGATCAGGCGCCGTTCACAGCTGCCGCCGTGTCTAGGAAGTGTCTGGGGAGTGTCTGGGGAGTGTCTGGGGAGGTGTCTGGGCGAGGGTGGCGGCGGTGACGGCGGCGGAGGCGAGGGCGGCGGAGGCGAGGGGGGCGGAGGCGAGGGCGGAGGCGGGCTGGGCGGCGGCGGCGACGGCGGCGGTGGCGAGGGGGGTGGCGGCGAGGGGGGCGGCGGCGAGGGCGGTGGAGGCGAGGGCGGCGGATGCGAGGGTGGCGGCGGCGAGGGGGGTGGCGGCGAGGGCGGGGGCGGGATGGGCGGAGGCGATGGAGGCGGTCGCGGCTAGTGTCTATAAGCCGCAGCCTCTGCAGGCCCTGCAGCCGCACGCGCTGTCCGAGCAGCGCGCTGAAGTCACTCTCGCCGACGCCGTCGCTCCACTCGACCTGCGCAGGTGACGGGGGGAGGGGGGGGGGGGCGAGTAGACAGACGACAGCTAGGAAGTGTCTGGGAGGTGTCTGGGAAGCGTCTGGGAAGTGTCTGGGAAGTGTCTGGGAAGTGTCTGGGAGGTGTCTGGGAAGTGTCTGGGAAGTGTCTGGGAAGTGTCTGGGAAGTGTCTGGGAGGTGTCTGGGAGGTGTCTGGGAAGCGTCTGGGAAGTGTCTGGGAAGTGTCTGGGAAGTGTCTGGGAGGTGTCTGGGAAGTGTCTGGGAAGTGTCTGGGAAGTGTCTGGGAAGTGTCTGGGAAGTGTCTGGGAAGTGTCCGGAAGCGAGGTGTGTAGGGAGTGCCTAGGGAATCTCTAGAAGGTGTTCGTCAAGTGTCTGGGAAGTGTCTAGGAAGTGTGCGAAGTGTCTGGGAAGTGTCTAGAGAGGAGGCCTGCATCGTGGTCTGCCTCATCTCTCTGCGCCTCGTCACGCAGTTGTCTCCCTGCGCGCGAGAGGCGCTGCGGGGAGGCGGCGGCGGAGGAGGAGGAGGAGGAGGAGAGATCACCCGGCGCAAGCGCTAGTGCGGCGGTGGGCGCATCGGCGTCGGGGAGCTGAGGAAGAGGAGGGCCACGGGTAGGCGCTGCTGCAGGAGGGGGGGGGGGGGGGGGGGGGAGCCTCCGCGGGTTGCACAAACTCGAACCCCGCTACATACCGCGCTCAGACGCGATATACACCACACCGATATATCGGAGGGGCCACTTGCATGTTCCACTCTCGCGCCGCACCTCGCCCGCAAAGCGCGGCCTCAGGTGCCGCCGCTCCTCTCGTGCGATCTCGTGTGATCTCGTGTGATCTCGGGCGATCTCCCCCGCCAGAGGTCGCCTCAGGTGCCGTCACTGGTGAGGTCATGAGCCCGGGGGCTCGATAACTAGTCTGACACGTGTTTTGCATGACAAGATCCTCCTCGGCGCCTCTGGCGGTCTCCCGGCGCTCTCTCGATCTCCCGGCCGACTCGCGCGAAGCTTGGAGGGCAAGTGTCTCGGAAGTGTCTCGCAAGTGTCTCGGAAGTGTCTCGGAAGTGTCCGGGACCTAACGACCGCGCCTCCACATCGCGCGACGGCGTGGGGCGGGATAGCGAAGGGCCGGCGCTGGACGGCGGCGCGGGGCTTTAATCCGCGCCGTCACGGCGCTGTCGCTTCAGGGAACGGGCCCGGCGCAAAGTAGTCTCGCGCGGGCCAACTGATGAGAAGCGGAGGCGCCATCTCTCGGCGCAATCTCGGCTGGATCTCGGCGAGAAGAGCGGGGGAGAGGCGCGCACCCTCGCTGCGCCGACTTGACGGTGGGAGGGTCCTGCGGGGCGTCGAGCGGGGAGGGGGGTGGAAACGGTGGCGCGTAGGGCCCCCGGGGCGGAGGCGGTCGCGTGTAGGGCGGAGGCGGTGGCGCGTAGGGCGGAGGCGGTGGCGCGTAGGGCGGTGAGAGGTGTGGTTTGGCGGCGGGCGGCGAGATGGGTGATTTGCGCGTGCTTTCCAGGGGGATGCCCGATGGGAGGCGGTGGCAGCTCCAGGATAATACACGGCGGCCGATGTGCGAATGAGGGAACACGCAGACTTGCACTGTCGCAGGCCCCGTTGCCTGGATGCCTCATTCGGATCCGCGCTGCACGGTGAAGGGGAGAGTGGGCCCGAACGTTGGCGGACGGCGCGCGGCGTGTGTCGGCGCCGCGCATGTGTGTGTGTGTGGTGTGCGCGCGTGCCGCGCGGTGGTCGAGCGCCACGGGCGGGCGTGCCAGAAGAAATCGCGGGCGCTCCCGTCGCAGCTGGTGTGTTGGCATGTGAAATATTAAACAAGCACTTCATTCATTCCCAGAGCCGCGATCCAAGATGCACATTCAAACACGTCACGAAAACAAACACCAGATTGATTGATCACGGACACGGTTCACGGCCGCCCGCAGCCCCCGTAGAAGCCCCGCTCCCAATCTCAGGTGTTGGATTGCTCCCCACGCAGTGGTGTGCCCACTCCACAATCAAGCCATGATCGACACTCCAAACATCTGGAGGCTCCGAACAAGGCTCTGGAGGACCGTCGCCGATCCGTGAGGACCTCTCAGTGAGGACCTCTTGACAAGGCTGCAAGGGATGGCACGCTCAAACCGGTGAGGACCTCTGTGTGACAGAGGACCTCAGACGCCTTGGTCAAACGCGTGTCTGAGGACCTCTCTCTTGCGTCCCTGCCTACCACGGACTGACTGCGGACAGCTAAGGTGCCTGTGCCGCGTCTGGCATGAATGGTCTCAGATATGAATGTATTCGTACCAGGAGCGTCACGCAATAGGAGGGAGTGAACACACGCCAACAAAGCAATGCAAGTGTAGGGCAGGCCCTTGGAGGATAAAGTGTTGCATCTGATGTGGTGTTCCATAAAATGCGAGCATGAACAGCTTCTGTCCGGATACCGTTCAATCGCCTCACAGTGATTTGGGCTCGGCAGCTTTGTCAGCTAGCCCTCAGCCGAAGCTTCTCTAACTGATGCACGCTCACCCACTCCCCATAGGGAGGCGGCGAACCAGCTGAGCAACAAACTTTCGCACGCTCAGCACCTGGACGAGGTCACATGGACCACCAAGAACTGGCACGGGCTGCAGATGCAGCGCTTGTCTGTCGTCCTCCACACCGCCGTGGCGTGGCAGACGGTGAACGAGCTAGCGTGCGGGGACAGCGGCATTGTGCACGGAGCTAAGTGCATTGCCGTTCTTAACGGAGTCGCTTAGGCGGCTCCGGTGGTGAGCCTGTGTGTGTGCCAGTCCGCGCCAGTCTGCGCCCTTGTCGTGCCAGTGTGCTGTGAGAGAGGCTTGTCTCATAAAAATTCTTTTTCCCGGCGCTGTTGGTGGCGTTCGCCCTGCCGCACAGATTTTGTTTTCTGCGGCCGCCCGGCTCGCACGCCTGCTGGCTCGTGCACATCAACACGCCCAGCCCCATGGATCCCGGCTGGTTCGTCCTCTGCCTCGCTCTCCTCCTCGAGTGTGCGCTCGTCGGACTGCTCATCTTACCGGTGCCGTCCAACAAGGCATTCCTGCCGCCAACGCCGCTGCCGCAGCCGACACCGCCCTCCGACGCCGCCGCGGCTGACGCTGCTCCTCCTCGCGCGCTCAGATCCGAGGCCTGCTCAACGAGTGGGTGGTCTCTCTGCTCTCGAACCAGGGCGTCAAGTACGCCGGCTTTGCGATCCTACTGCTGGACGCCTACTATTTTGCCGGCACGATGGACGCGCTCTCGAACCCGCTCGTGCACGTGGGCATCGTCGCCTCGCCGATCGACGACGTGATCCTGTCGTGCGAGGTCGGCCTCGAAAAATTTCGGAACGAGCGCAACGCCTACATCACCGGCTTCTCGCTCTTCATGTTCCTCGTGCTGCGACGGCTCACCTCCAGCCGCGGGTTTACTCCTGCTGCGCGCACCGAACCCACCGTGCCTGCTCGACCCCGTAGGCTCGTCGACATCCAGAGCCAGCTCTTCCACGCGCGCGAGACAAACAAGCAGAGCAGTCGGGTGCCCTTGGGCAAGCCGGTGGAGGAGAGCGGCAAGCCAAAGCGCTACTGACGGCTTCGAGGCTTGGCGCCCCGAGGCCCCGTTGCCTCGACCTCTGCCATGCACGCAGCCCGTTCAGTGTGTCGTTTTGGGGAGGATACCGACGGCGGCTCGTGCATCGGTTCGTTACTTCGTGTACAATAAATATGTGTCCCCAAATTGCTGTATAGGAAACTGGCGGTGGACATACGGCTTTATAAAAGCGTAAGGTAAGGTAAGGTAGATTTCTCCACACACACAAAGTGGTGGGGCAAGGGGGGGCGACCCTCGCATCTCCACGCCCGGACACGGGCAGGAGCCCCACGGCATTCAAAGTGCAAGCACTGGCCCGGTGCACGTGGGTGAGCAGCCTGCCCCTCCCTCCCGACAAACCAACTCCCGCACACACACAATCGCACTCTGGCCATCGAATGACTCCGAATGACTCACTGTGTGTGCTAAGACAGAATCTCCGCAGACATCCAAAACGGGCCGTGCCGCGTTTGTGGTGTCTTCTCAAGCACTAGCATCCGGACGCCGCACTCGAGCGGGCGGGTCACATCTATGTGGGCCCAGTGTGTGCGCACTAGGCGCATATGCTAGTGCTATCCTGCCCTATGGGAGGCAGAGGGATGGGGGGAGGGGGGGGCAGAGGTAAGGTGGGGTGAGACTGGGGAGGGCCTCAAAGGTCCTCCATGGGGGTGGGGTCCGGCCCGAACAGGTCGAAGCCGGTCCCGCCATCGCCGCCGGCGCCGTCGCCCTCGTCCGCCTCGGAGGCGGAGGTCGTCGAGCGGGGCGTCTCGCCCGTCGCGAACCTGCCGCCGAACACGGCGTCGGCCGGCGCCGAGGCGCCGGCAGCCGTGATCAGGTCGGCGACCTCTTTCGGTCCCTGCGTATGTATCTTCTTCCAACACCCGGACGTGTGCCTCCACCGGCACGCCGCTTCCGACAGGGTCCGATGGAAGGTTCGACGCACAAATCCAAGACCCAACTTCACCTCTCGCATCTCGTCTAGTGACCTGGCCCCTCGCGCTCTCACCTCTCCTCGCTCCCGCAGCGGCCTGTGACACGTACTCAGTCTGTGGCATCTTCCTCTCCGTCCCGAGACCGAACGCGCCGAGAGGGTTCATTACTAAATGTTCTTGGTATGAAACAACGACGAACGACGAGTCGACGACACACACCAGCCGAGACGAGAGAGAGCAGAGCCCAACATATGATGGCCTCGCTCTCGAGAGGAACAGAAGATTTCACACATCTCTCCGAAGGCTCTCTGCGCAGTCTGCAGTGTGCGGGGTGGCCAAGGGGTCCCAAAACGCTCGAGATGCCTCAAGTCAAGCCTCGCCGTCGCGTAGCGGCTGCCGCAGACTCTCTGCCACGCATCGACCGTGGGACCTGAGGCAAGGCGAAAAGGGAGGGTCTCTCTCCTCGCGCTGGCTCGCGTGTGCACAACTACAAGCTCGCCTCTTCCTTTCCCTCACCAGTGCAGCAACCGCGACCAGGAAGACTCCCAAGATGCCGACGGCTGTCAAGGCCGGGGCCGGCGCCAGCGGCTCAGCCACCTGCAGGATTTTATGCGAGGTCACAGGGTCGCCACTCCAGCCGAGCTCTCCCAACACGTGGCCGAGACGAGGCCCCTCATCCTAGACAGAACAGCCGGGTTTCCACATCCTCACCTCGGCTGACATCGGCGTATGCAGGGCGTGAAGTGGGGTGGCAGCCATCATGGCGAGCACGGGAGGCCACTGGACCGGGACGTTTTTGTCGCAAAAGGTTCCCTGGAGGCTCGCCTGGCCGCTACCGCAGCTGGACGCCGGTATCGTGCCATCGGGGCACTCGACGCAGACGGCATGGATACCCTTGCTCCACACCTGCACGCCGTCCACCACCGTCTGCTTGACCTCCCCACCGTGCGGGCATGACTCCACCACGCGCTTGCACGACTCCTTGACGCAAGTGCCGTTGACAGCGGCCTGAGGTACAGCGCGTGGCTTGCTGAGAAATGGAGCAGCCCGGGTCGAGGTGGAAAGGGCACACGAGCTGGCCTCGCTCCTGGTTGGGATCGCAGCAGCGCCCGCCCGCGCACTTCCCAGCAACGCAGCACCCGCCGCCACATTGCGACTCGCCAAACTGGCAGCAGACGCCGTCGGCGACACAATGCTGCATGAACTCGCAGCATGCCGCGCCGCAGCACGTGGCCATGAACCCGCAGTCGTGCCCGTCAGGGCAGGTGGTCATAAACTTGCGGCCCGACATGCACGTGTGAGAGAGATCTTTCCACGTTTGTGGCGCGATGCTGTGGTAGGTGAACGTACGAAAAAAGTTGGCAAAAGCAAAGTTAGAATTTTACAAAACTCCCTCGCACAACACTGGGCACGGGACTGGCGCGCACTGGCACTAACACAGGTACACCACGGGAGCCGCCTAAGCGACTCCTGCGAGGGTGGCGAGGCACTTAGCTCCGTGCACCCGCCCGCCCCCGCCACAGGCAAGCTCATTCACGACCTGCTCTGCGACGGCCGTGTGAAGAACGACTGAGATGCGCTGCTTCTGCAGCCGCAGTTAGAAATTTCCGTGGGAAGAAGTCATAGATCAACTACAGTGTGTGAGTGTGAGTGTAAAAATAAAGAAAGAAAACAGACAAACCGTGTGAGTGTGAGTGTGAGTTTGTGAGTCCAGTACTTCGGGATTTTTCTTTGGTGCATACCCCGACTGTATCCGTGAATAGGAACGAGACAGATGCCCGACCGCCTATCGCTCCAATCGCTCCGTTCCTCCCTCCAGTCCTGCGCCTCTGACCTCTCCGAAGCATCCCTCTTCTACGACGAAGTCGCGTGTGAATCGCCGATTCCGCGCCGGCCGCCTCCCGCTGCACGTGCAGCCTCTTCGGAGGCGCCGTCCGGAAACGACGAGGACGAGGCGGGCGCGGTGTGGGTCGTCGCGGCGGGCGGAGAGCGCGTCTTCTTCCCTCGCGCCGCCGCCGCAGTCTGCACGACTCTGGCCACCGCGGTGGAGCTTGACGGCGAGGGCGGAGGCGCACTGACGGTCGATGCGGGCGGCGGGCGCAACGCGCTAAGCCCCGCCACCCTCCGCGCGGCGTGCGGCGCTTGCCTTCGTCTTGGAGGCGGCTCGACGTCCGCCGACGTTGTCGCGGCGGCGCCGCTGCCGACGCTGCTCCCGCTGCTGCGCGCGAGCGGTTACCTCGGCGTGGACGCGCTAGGGAAGTGTCTGGGAAGTGTCTAGGAAGTGTCTGGGAAGTGTCTAGGCTACCTCGGGGTGGACGCGCTGCTTGAGCCGCTCTGCGCGCGCGTCGCGGCGGCGCTGGTCCAGCTGTCGCCTAGCGCGGCGCGCGCCGCGCTCGGCTGTGGAGGAGACGGGGCGGGAGGAGGTGAGGCGCCGCTCGATGACGCGCCGAGATACCCCGAGACGACCCGAGATTGCAATCTCCAGGCGAGGCGCCGCACGAGGACGCGCCGCTGGAGCCGCTCTCGACTCGCCCCGGCAGCGCAGCTCTGGCTCGCGCGCACGGCGGCGGCGGCGCCGCCGCGCCGGGATGCAGCTCCGCCTCCGCCGGCAACGCAATCACGGTGGCGGCTGGGGCCGCGGGCACGGCGCCAGTGTGCGCTGTATGCGGTTGCAGTGCCGCCGCCGCCGTGGGGCCGCCGCCGCGCTCGCTCTCGGAGGCGATCGGGGACGAGTATTGTGTGGAGGAGTTGGTGGCGAGGCTGCCGCTGTGCTCTCTCGCTCGGCTCAAGGCCTTGACTTAATTAAGTAGAGGTGTGAATAGACGCTGTTCACAGCTCTCTCGCTCGGCTCAAGGCGCTCTCCGAGGCGTGGCGCGAGCGGTGCCGCGCAGCTCTCTGCGGCTGGTTCGACGCTGTCGCGACGGCAGACCACGCCGCCCTCAAGACACTTCCTAGACACTTCCTAGACACCTCCTAGACACTTCCTAGACACCTCCTAGACACCTCCTAGACACCTCCTAGACACCTCCTAGACACCTCCTAGACACCTCCTAGACACCTCCTAGACACCTCCTAGACACCTCCTAGACACCTCCTAGACACCTCCTAGACACCTCCTAGACACCTCCTAGACACCTCCTACACACCTCCTACACACCTCCTACACACCTCCCACACACCTCCCACACACCTCCTAGACACCTCCTAGACACTTCCTATAGGCAGACCACGCCGCCCTCTCCCTCCTCCTCTCCACCGCAGCGGACGGCCTTGCAGCCGAAGTGGCGGCGGAAGCTGCGGCGGAGGCGGCGAGGGGGGAGGCGGCGGGGGAGGCGGAGGCGGCGAGGGGGGAGGCGGAGGCGGCGAGGGGGGCCGCTTTTGGGGAGAGGGGTGGCGGGCAGTTGTGGCGGCGAGCGGCGCTCGAGGTTGGACTCGCGGCGGCTCGTCGGCTGGACAGCTCGGACTCGGCCGTCCGCCTCGCCGCGGCGCGAGGGATGCGAGGGCGGAGACGTCGCCGGCCGTGTGTCGTGCGGGTGGGGTGCCGCGCCTCTTCACACCGCGCAGCTGTGAACAGGCTGGTTGTCGCCACTCTGCGGACGCCGCCGCCGCTCCTCCTCTCCGCCCCGCCCGAGGCTCCGTGGCTCGTGGCGTTGGCGAGGCGTGTCGCCGACCAGGCTTGGCTCGAGATTACCCGAGATTACCCGAGATTACCCGAGATTACCCGAGATTACCCGAGATTACCCGAGATTACCCGAGGCGTGTCGCCGACCAGGTTTGACTCGAGATTACCGAGATTACCCGAGATTACCCGAGATTACCCGAGGCGTGTCGCCGACCAGGCTTGGCTGGTGGCGGAGGAGGCGGCGGCGGCGGTCGCCTCGGCAGAGTGGCTGAGCGAGGCGACGGCGGAGGCTGTGCGGAGGGAGCTGGGGCGTGTGGCAGAGACGGCGGACGGGAGGGAGGCTGGGGTCTCACGCCACCGCGACTCCACTTGCCTATCTCTCGGGTCGAGTCGGGCTGCCTGTGTTCAGGCGCGGAATCTCGGGTAATCTCGGGTAATCTCGGGTGATTTCGGGTAATCTCGGGCAATCTCGCTGATGAGATGTCGGGCCGTCTGTGCTCAGGCGCGGGCACTAGCCGCCGCGGCGCTGCGGGATGCTCCGTGGGACAGCGAGCGCGCCTCGCTGCAGCGGCGCTGGCAGCTGGCCCCGCGGGACCGGCTAGACGCGGGGACTTGGAGGCGCTGTGAGCAGCGTCTCTTCACACCGTCTGCTGTGAGCAGGACCAGCTGAACGCCGAGTTGGAGAGGCGTGGCCTTGGCTCGCGCGTGAGCTAGACCTCCTAGACACGCCCTAGTCACTTCCTAGACGCTTCCTATAGGCGTGGCCTTCGCTCGCGCGTAAGCGAGGCCGGCGGCGGAGGCGCAAGCGAGGCACGGAGGCGGCGAGGCGTGCTCCATGGACCGTCGATGAGCCTTCTCGGAGCTGTCCTGTAGGTGGCGGAGGCGTGCTCAGCAGTCGGCCTAACGGATCGGCGGCGCGCGCCGTGGCGGCGATCGTCGACGATGAGCGGCGGCGCGGGACCCTCCAGGCGGCGAGGTTGGCCGAGGCGGCGAGGTTGTTTGAGTGAGTGAGGGGGACGTCTAGACCACGCAGGGGCACTCGTGAGAGAGAGATTTGTTTCGTTTTACCTCTCGAGTTTTCAGAACACGGGAGGCGATGAAGGGCCACGTTTAAAGAGGCTCAGCCTCAGGCGGTGCGCCGTGCGCGGCAGAGGTGAGCGACGGGTAAGGTCTAGGTAAGGGAAGGTAAATTTCTCCACACACACAAGTGGTGGGGCAAGGGGGGGGATTTGGGTACCTCATAGGGTAGGGGACGGGACGGCCGAGTACCAACGTCCGTCCCTCCCGTGACACGCTAAGTTTTGATGACAACCCGGGCACTTGCGATCTCGCCCATACGAGATTGATGCGAGCTCACACGAGCTCATCTCGTGCCACGTCATCGCGTGCAGTCGTGCACCGCCGCGCCACAAGTGGCCTGGGCACCGCCCGGAGGAGGTCCGGGCCTCCCCCCTAACCCTAATTTCGTCAAACCATGTTCGGCGGCAAAGTTAAAAAGCGCGGGAAGCGGTCGGCGAAGTCTAAGGAGCTTCGCGAAGCTTCCAGGCAAGCCGCCGCGGCGCTCATCGGCACGCCCGAGGAGCGCAAGGCGCACGCCGCCGCTAAGTTTGCGGCCTCCCCGTGGACGGCCGAGCACAATAAGTTTTATGGTACCCTAGTAGATCCCTTAAGATCCGCCGCAAAGTGTGGGATAAGGCAGAGGACATAGGGACGTGTCTGGATCCGTCCCACTATGACTCGGGATCTGTCGGGGATACTTACGTCCCCACTGGTTTGGTGTACGTCCAAGAGTCGAAGTAAAAAGGCAATTGTTACTTACAAGTTTAAGTTTACATACATACTTACATATTTACATACACTTACGTCCCCCCCACCCTACTTACGTCCCCTACTTTCGCTTCGGCTTCAAGTATGCGAGGCCGAACTCGCGGTCGTAGCCATACTCGGCGATCCGCTCGGGATCCTTGATCCCAAACTTCTCCGCCGCGATGAGGTCGTGCCCGCCGTGCTCGAGGATCTTGTGTGCTGTGGCTCGGGCGTTCATCGCCTTGACGATGGCCGTTGCGAGCACGATCTCGCCCTTCCTCATAGTCGACGGCGGGAGCTGCCCTGCTGTCAGACCGAGCTCAGACGGCGCCGGGCCGCGCCTTGTGCCTGACGCCGCGCCTGCACGCAGCACCGCGGTGAAGAGACGCCGTTCACACCCGCCGCGCGCCGAGAGGTGGTGCGCGCCTCGGGGTGGCTGTCGGACAGCCCCGCCTCCACGACGGCTCTCCAGAGCTGCGCCTCCTCCGCCGAGGGGCGCGTGTCGGCGGAGCAGGCGTCGGAGAGGCGGAGCGTGTCGTCGTACCTGCTCACAGCGCGAGGTGTGAACAAGGAAATGTCTCGGACGTGTCTAGGACGTGTCTAGGAAGTGTCCCGGAGCGTGTCAGCGTACCTGCTCACAGCGCGAGGTGTGAACAAGGAAATGTCTAGGACGTGTCTAGGACGTGTCTAGGAAGTGTCCCGGAGCGTGTCAGCGTACCTGCTCACAGCGCGAGGTTTGAAGAGGACCCTTCTTGGAACCTTCTTGGCACATGTCCTGCGCGCTCGAAGTGAAAAGAATTTTTCTGGAGCACTTGGAGTGCAGTCATTAACCTCACATCCAGGGCCGGGGGCTAAGAAGCACACCCAGCGGGCCGGATGATCGGCATCGGGTTGCGGGCAAGAGAGCCCTAGCCCCGGGGGTGCGCGTTCGCAGGGCAAGGGCCGTAAAGTAAAACACGGGTCTCCGAGGGTTGGTCTGCGCTTTGGGTTTTCCCTAGCTGCGGAGCGCCCCCTCTACTCGGAGCTACATAATGGACAACAGACACGCACACGACGCACATCCCCACTCGACGTCACCCCTCAGGCCTCTGGGGCACTCCTATCTTCCCGGTCCTCCCCCCGGCTCGCCTTCCGCTGGTCGGGCAGCGGCTGCGGAGCCCGCCTTCCCCTCTTATGCTTCTTCGGCCGCGGACCCACCGCCGCCTCGTCTCCTCTGCCTGATCCCGTTGGCTGAAATCCTTAACGTTGTTCAAGTGTTCACCCCAGCCCATGCTGTTACTGTTTGTTACTGTTGTTACTGTTGTTACTGTTGTTCAGCGGCCAGCAAGCAGAAAACGGCAAAAAACCCGGGTCAAACCCGAAAATACCTGGGTTTTCCCGGGTATTTCGGGTATTACCCGCACTGGACGCTGGAGGTCGTCGTGGGACACTGCCAGGCCTTCCTTATTGTTGTTCAGCCGGCCTAACGTTAGCTACTGTTGTTGGGGAGCCCCACTGTTGTTCTGTTGTTACTGTTAACACTAGCAACACTGTTCAGCTCCCAACGTTAAACAGCTCTAGGCTCTACGCACTACGCGGACGACGGTTCTGTCTGAGCTTCTCGCTCAGTCTGTCTCTCTTCACTCACCCTACACAAAGCTCAACTAAGAGAGAGAATTTTACAACAAAACTCCCTCGCACGACACTGGGCACAAAGAGGTAACTCAGACCGCCTAGCTTCATCATCTTCGTTGTCCTCGCTTTTCGAACTCCGCGGGCTCCTCTCGGGATCAGGTTTGGCACAGCGCATCGGTGTGCGGTCTGTACTACTACTACTACAGCACTCAGTCAATGGCTGCCCTCAACCACCCCCCCTCGCGCTGCCCGGGCGCCTGCCCCCATCGCCGCGCACCCCCTCACAAGCCGCCGAACCCGAGCCCAAACATTCCAGACTCCTGCTGCCGCCGCAGCTTGCGCGCGGCGGCGGCGAAGTCCTCCGCGTCGTCCGCGAACCTCGCGAACTTGTCGTCCAAGTTGGCCAGCTTCTCGCCGCGCTCGTGCAGCGCCGCCACGGCCTCGCGCGCGGCGCTGCTCGCCGCCGCCGCCCCCGCCCCCGCCGCCTTGCCCTCACCCGGCAGCGGCCGCCCGTCCGCCGCGCGCCGCGCCGCGCGCCCCTCGCGGCTCGCCCAGTAGGGCTCGCCCTCGCCCAGCAGCTCGCTGCGCGCCGCCGCGTGGCCGCCCGCCGACGGCGGCCCTCCGCCCCGCCCCTCCGCCCGCCGCTCCCGCCGGCGCGCCGCGAGGGGCCGGCTCGCCGCCTCCGCCTCGAGAGTTAGGGTTAGGGTTAGTCATTAACCAGTCATTAGTTAGTCACTAACTCGTCATTAATTAGTGGTTAATTAGTGGTTAATTAGTGATTAATTAGCGGCCTCGAGGGTGCGCAGCATCGAGTGGGCAGCGTCGCAGACGCGCGCCGGCGCCTCGCCAGCCTTGAGGACGGCGCGGTGGGCGGAGCAGCCGCTGCAGACGAGGAGGCCGAGCAAGCGGCAGTGGTGCTTGCCAGAGTCGAAGAGCCCCGCCAGCTGGGCGAAGGGAGTGCCGCAGCACATGCAAGTCGCCGACGAGTCGTCGGGGCACCTGTTCACAGCTAGAGGTGTGAAGAGACGCTGCTCACTGCGGTCGTTTGTTCGACGGGCCGCCGGCTCCTAGACACTTCCGAGACACTTCCGAGACACTTCCTAGACCCTTCCCCGGTCCGACGAGCCGCCGGGGGCGCCACGCCGCCGCCGCCGCGCGCAGAGCCAGCGGGTGCGCCGAAGCGGCGGGCAGGGCTGGCACCTCTCTCCTTGCCTGCGGGGGAAGTGTCTGGGAGGTGTCTCGGAAGTGTCTCGGAAGTGTCTAGGAAGCGGCGCCTCTCTCCTCGCCTGTGGTACGGCGCCGAGAAGGCTCCGGGCTAGGGTTCGGCTGTGGGCAGGGTAGGGTAGGCTTGCTCTGTGTGCAGAAGGGCCGGCCCCCTCGGGCACCCTCGGCACCTCTCGGGGGCATCTCGGCATCTCTCGGCTAGCCTCGCCCTGTGCGCGGCGACGCCGGACTGAGCCGCGCGGCGGACAAGCTCCCCCTGCGGCAGTGATTGGCGAGTCAACGTGATCCACTCATCAACCTCACGGCCTTCCCTTCACGGCATAGCACCTGCGACTCCTCCCATCCGCGCGCCAGCTCTGGCCGCGCCCCATGCGACGCCAGCACCTCGGCGGCGGCGCAGACGCCCTCACCGCCCTCCGCGCCGGCTGGAAGGAGCGAGAGCGGAGCGCGGCCGCTCTCGTCGAGCCCGTTTGGCTGCGCGCCGTGGGCCAGAAGCAGCTGCAGCGACGTCGCGTCGGCTGCGGCGGCAGCGAGGTGGAGGAGGGAGGGGCTGGCGAGGCCTGTTCACAGCTGGAGGTGTGAAGAGGCGCTGTTCACAGCGAGGCGGAGGAGGGAGCGGCTGGCGAGGCCGGAGGGACGGAGACGCGCGGCCGGGTCGAGGCCGGCCTGGAGGAGCGGGGGAAGTGTCTCGGAAGTGTCTCGGAAGTGTCTCGGAAGGGTGACCCCGCCGAGCCCCGCCTGGAGGAGCTCTTCCATTCACAGCTCTTCTCTTCACAGCTCTTCTATTCACAGCGCTTCTCTTCACAGCCCTTCTCTTCACAGCTCTTCTATTCACAGCCCTTCTCTTCACAGCTCTTCTCTTCACAACCCCGCCTGCAGGAGCGCCTCCAGGCCGCCGTGCGAGCCTAACCAACCGCCCGTTAAACGCTTACGAAGTGATGATGAGTGAGGGGGCGCCTCGAGGCCAGGTGGGCCAGTGCGCAGCGCCAGGAGCGCGGCGGGCGTGCCTATTGACGGCCGCCTCGCCAATCAAGGGTCGCTAGCTACGCACTCCCTCTTCGGCGGGCGCGCCGTCGAAGCACGGCGCGGCGCGGTCGGCGGCGCTGGCTAGTAGCGCCGCCACCGCCGCCGCGGGCGCGCGCGTCGCGAGGAGCAGAAGCAGCGGCGTCTCGCTCTCTGTCGCGTCGCAGCCTCCTTCCGGCCCTGCGCCCGCCTCGAGCAGCAAGCGCAGCACCTCCACGCGCGCCGCGGGGCCGGCGTCGCGGGGGGGCGGGGCGGGCGGCGGCGCCGGCCCGGAAGGAGAGTGCGGCAGCTCCGGCGGCGGCGGAGGCGGGCCGCACGCGCAACAGAGTGCGGCAACCATCAGCGGCGCCAGCTCCGCGGCGGCGCTGCCGGAGGGAGACGCGCCCGCCTCGAGCAGCGCCTCGACGGCGACGGCGTTGCCCGCCGCCGCAGCGACGTGCAACGGGGACCACCCGCCCAGCCCCGCGCTCTCCTCAAAGTCGCTCGCCGCCGCCGCCGCCGCCGCCGCCCGCCACGCTGCCTCGCAATCGAGCGTCGCCGCTGCGTGCGCGAGGTCGCCTAGTCAATTCACCACTTGAGTCATCAGTAGCTCCTTCACTAACTTCATTCACACTAGCGTGGGTGATGAGGTCGCCCTGCACGAGTGCGCCGCTCGCCTCGGCCAGCCTCCTCCCGACGTGCTCGTGCGCCAGCCGCCGCACCTCGGCGCAATTAACTGGTTCATTAGTCCATTAGTTGATGAGTTGATTAGTTAGTTGGTGGGTAAGGGGCGGATCTTGGGGGAAATTAATTGGTTAATTAGTG